CCCCTCAGCACCCATCGCGGAGGGGGCGGCCGGGCTGGGAGCCGTTGAGTGCCGGGTGAGGAGCTGCGAAGTGCACGGCGTGCGTGCGGAGCTCCGACTGCGTGAGGATGCGCTCAGCACTGTGAGCGGCATCTCCTTTCATCCCGCAAAAGCCCCGTGAAGGACGTGCTGCCATCATGCCCATTTTACAGCTGGGGACACGGAGGCTCAGAGAAGCCGTGGCTCACAGATGCGCGGTGTAGGCAGGACGCAAGCGCAGAAGTGTCGCCCGGGCCTGCTCTCAGCTGCGGCTCCTGGTCTGCCCCGCGGCTCTTACCGCTCTGCAAAGCCGAAGCAGCACGGCCAACCCAGGCTCAGCTTCTGTCTGAAAGTCGTCAGGCCTGGCGCTCTGGGCTTCCTCTTTTTGCCTGTTGTGCTGGTGTTTATTTCAACGCTCGTGGGGGCTCGGGTTTGGGTTGAGGGCGGTGCAGGTGGCCTGCATGCCCCCGGCCTGCAGCCCTGCTCCTCTGAGACGAGGAGGTGGCTGCTCTGGTTGGAATCCACGGGGCCTGGGGGACCGTCCCTCAGGGAAGCAGAGACAACAGGCGGGCTCCCGGGTGCTTAACCCACGCGGGCGCAGCCGAAGCCGCCACGCCTGCGCACTTTCACACCTGCTGAGGCGGCTGGAGGGAGCTGCTCCGGCTCAAGTTCACAGACAGAGGAGGGCAAGGTCAAACCCCAGGCTGACCACCGACCCACCAAGCCACAGGGCAGCAGTGGGGAGACCTGTGTCCAGGCCACATGGCCCCCTCAGTATCGGTTGTCAACCTGCATCTCCAGCATTTGGGGACACTTTTGGTTGTCATCATGGAAAAAGCCCAACTAACAGTGGCTAAAACACTTTAGGATTTATTTTTTGTTACATAACAAGGAGTCTGGTTGTTGGAATTGGTTTGGAACAGGGTTTCTCAATCTCAGCACTATTGACATTTTAGGCCACATAAATCTTTGCGGTGGGGGCTGTCCTGTGCATTGTAGAATGCTTCGCAGTGTCCCTGTCTCCACCCCCAGGTGCCAGTAGCATCCTACCCCCAAGTCATGGCTACCAAAAGTGTTTAGTGTTATCAGAACCAGCGTCTGTGAGTCTCCTGGACTTTGCCTCATGGTCACAGATGGCTGCCACAGCTCCAGACATTATCAGGGCAGGAAGAACAATGAGGGACTAGTACCTGTCTCTTAGCAGACAAGTGGAAGCTTTCACAGAGGCCTCACCATCCTATCCAGAGAGGTTAAGTGAAATGCCCAAGACCACACAGCTAAGCAGGGCAAGACAAAGTCAGGATTAGAACTTCAGGGAGGGGCCAGGCAAGGTGGCTCCCGCCTGTAATCCTAGCACTCTGGGAGGCCAAGGCGGGAGGATCGCTTGAGGTCAGGAGTTTGAAACCAGCCTGAGCAAGAGCGAGACCCCCATCTCTACTAAAAATAGAAAGAAATTAATCGGCCAACTAAAAATATACAGAAAAATTAGCTGGGCATGGTGGCGCATGCCTGTAGTCCCAGCTACTCGGGAGGCTGAGGCAGAAGGCTTGCTTGAGGCTGGAGGCTGCTGTGAGCTAGGCTGACACCACAGCACTCCAGCCAGGGCAACAGAGTGAGACTATGTCTCAAAAAAAAAAAAAAAAAGAATTTCAGGGAGGGAGGGACTCCATGCACCCCAGAAGTCATCTGTGCTGGGCCGGGGGGACAGGCAGCTCTAGTACAACTGGCCTCACTCCTGAATCAGTAAAGGACAGATAGTCCAAACCCCTATTTCCAGAGATTCTAGCAAGCCCAGGGCAGAGCAGGTCTAGGCGGGACTTACCCTGGGCTCTCTGAGTCCCTGCTACCGTAGCCATGGCAGAGGGGACAAAAGCCATTTACCAGAAAGTCCTTGAGCCACACCCACCACTGACTTGGTCCTTTTTTTTTAATTTTTGAGACAGATTCTCACTCTGTCGCCCAGGCTAGAGTGCTGTGGCGTCAACGTGGCTCACAGCAACCTCCAACTCCTGAGCTCAAGTGATCCTCCTGCCTCAGCCTCCAGAGTAGCTGGGACTACAAGCATGCGCCACCATGCCCGGCTAATTTTTTCTATATATTTTTAGTTGAGATGGGGGGGGTGTCTCACTTTTGCTCAGGCTGGTTTCAAACCCCTGACCTTGAGGGATCCACCCGCCTGGGCCTTCCAGAGTGCTAGGATTACAGGCGTGAGCCACCGCGCCTGGCCTGACTTGGTTCTTGATGGTTCTGAGCAGGCTGCCTCCAGGGCCAGGCTGGAGCTCCCCGCCCCACCCTCACCCGCTGCGTGGCCCAGGGCACTGTCCTTAGCAGCCTTCCATAACATGGGGATAATTATAGTGCCTGTCACGTGGGCAGTGGGAGGATTCTCTGACTCTGTGGGCACCAGCCCCCAATCTCTGCCACCCTGTGGTAGTGTCACCACAGGACACTGACTTGGGAGCCTCTTTTTGGCCCTGGGCACTTCGCTTAACCTCTCCGAGGCTCCACCTGCCCAGTCCTCAACGCAGGGAGACAAGGTCCTCCTCTGAATGCTGCTGGGAGGACAAAGTGGGATCATGGATCCAGCCACTTACTGCCCTCGGTGGGGAAACCACTCTGCGCCTCTGGTCACTCCCTAAAACTGGTCTAAGGGTACCTGTCTAGGAAAAGGCTGCCTGGAGCTTAGATGGCCTCATGTATGCAAGTCACTCAGTCCAGGACCTGGCCCTAAACAGGCACTCTAAGGCAACTGACCTTTATAATTATTAGTGATGTGCGAGGCAGTAACCACGTAAGAGTACCCAGCACTCAAAAAGTACTCATTCCATGGCGGTGTCTCTGTCGACTGTTAGCCTTCGCATTGTCTGTTCCTTCCACTGTTCCCTCTGTTTGAATGGGCCTGGATCTCACCAAGTCCCAGAGGCCTTCCCTGCCTCTGCAGGGCACAGTCACTGCTGGCGCCGCCCCTGCTCCTCGGGCGCCCACTCAGCACTTGCCTGGGAGACTTTGCCAGTGTAAATATAACGGGCATACGTTCTTTCCTCCGTGCGCGTCTCTGCCCCTCTGCTGCAGCCCCCGGGACAAGCCACTGATAAGCGTGTGTTCGGGGAAACGGACGCTTGTCAGGCAGGAGCAGGTGACACGTGGGGACGTGGGGCCACCGGACGCGGGGAGAGCCTGGTGACCCAGAACCCAAGGGAGCCCGGGCAGCAGCGTTCCCAGACCCGCAAGCCCCTCCCGCCCGCTCCCGGGCCGGGCGCAGCGCGGGGAGCGCCCCCGCCGCCTGCCGAGCCCCGCGCCACCTGCCCGCGCCGCACTCGGCGGTTCGTGCTCCGCTGCCCGGCGGGGCCGCCGAGCTCCCCGCGGGCCGTCCCGCCGGGGGTGGGGACCGGGCGGGGACGGGCCGCCCAGCGGGGCGGGGCGGGCGGCCCTGGTGGCGCTGGGACTTGTAGGCCGGGCCCGGCGCCTCTGGGCCGCACCGCGCGCCGACCCTGTCCCAGCTGGCCCTGGCGACGCGCCGGCTGGGGACAGCCTCGGAGAGGCGCTGTGCGTCACAGAAGGGGAAACTGAGGCCCGACGAAGGGACCCAGCCGGCCCAAGGTCGCGCTGCTGGGCAGTGGCTGCGTTCCCTGGCCCCTAGGGGGCACGTGAAGGTCACACTTGAATCCAAGTTTTCAAAGGGCGCCTCGAGGGGCCTCTGGCTGGTCGGGAGCTTTCCCTGCCCGCGTTGTCCCCTCGCGGACTCACGCAGCAGACGCTTCCCAGGCGCCTTTGCCTGCCAGGCCCTGCGGCTTGAGCAGCACGCCCAAGGTCCCTGTTGTCGCGGAGCCCGACTAGCAGGGGCGACCCTGCAACAAGCGGGCGCGTGCGCGCGGCGCTCCAGGACTTCGTGCTTGGGGCTTCGTTCCCAGTGTGCGGGGCCCGGGCAGGGCGGCAGGGAAGGACGCGTGTCACCGCTGCAGCGAATGGTCGTGGGTCGGTGGGGGAGGGGCTTCTAGACGGTTCCTCTCGGCCCGGAGCTAAGTGGCTGGGGCGGAGAAGGTGCTGGAGAGACGCCGGAAGGATGGAGCTGAGCGCCCGCTGCACGAGCTCTCCGCCGCCTGGCCGCCCCCTCGGCCCGCGGGGCGCCCTCCCAGTCCTCGCGGGCGCACCCGTCCTGTGTCCCGCTGTCCAGAGAAGGGTGCGCGGGGTTGGCGCCAGGAGTGCCCCCGCCGGGACCGAAGGTCACCACACTGGCGTCCGGAGACCCGACTCCGCAAGGGGGTGTGCGAGACGCGGTGGGGGAGGGGCGGGCTGCGGCCACGTGGCGGCCCCCGGGGCGGGAAGCTCGGAGAGGCCCGCGCTCGGTTCAACGCTCAACTGTTGCCGATTTGAAATCCCCAACGCTGGGACGCGGGCCGCGCGTTTGCACGCTGCGCTGGCCCGGCAATTCTTGCGCAGGGACCCCCGGCACCTGCAGGGCGCGACACCCCCCAGGGCACCCCCGCGGCAGCACCCCAACGCAGTTCCTTCTGGAGCCCGCGTTCTACGCTCTCTCGACGGATTATTGGTCTCGTGCGTGGGCGCCTCGTGGGCCGGGAGCGTGGACCGTGCCCGCCGCAGCCCTCGCGCCTCGCGCGGGCCCTGATGTACACCTCTCGGACTGATCGTGTCTGCAGACTGGCGCGCGCCCCTCGCTGCGCCCCAAGTGGCCCTGGGCTACACACTGACGCGACCGTCCCGTCTGTTGGCCGACGGCGCCCGGAGGGCAGCGCCGGCCTGTCTGGCCCACGCTGTGCCGGTGCCTGGCGCCGGGCGCGCGGCGGGCGCCCAGGGCGGGACGCCGCCGCGTGGACCCCGGCGGGCCCGGGCGCCGGGACGGCGCGCGGCGGGGCGGGCCCGGACTACGCCCCGCGGCCCCCGCGGCCCGGGCGGCGGGCGGATGGGGCGGGGCGGCGGGCGGGGCGGCTACAAAGGCCGGGGCGCGCCGGGCGCAGAGTCCCCGCGGCGCGTCGGGAGCGCAGCGCGGCGCAGCTCGGCGCTCGGCGGAGCGGCGTGCGAGCGACGGGCCCGCGGCTGACGGGCGGCCCTCGCGCCGCGCGTCGCCGCCGCCCCCCGCGCGCGCAGCCCCGCGCGCCCGGTCGGCCGGCGGCGGGCGCCCCCATGCTGGCAGCCCGCGCCCTGCGCCCCCAGCGCGGGCTTCCCGCGGCCGCCGGCCGCCCCCGGCGGCGCCATGCACGGCTCGCAGAAGGACACCACGTTCACGAAGATCTTCGTGGGCGGCCTGCCCTACCACACCACCGACGCCTCGCTCAGGAAGTACTTCGAGGGCTTCGGCGACATCGAGGAGGCCGTGGTCATCACCGACCGCCAGACGGGCAAGTCCCGCGGCTACGGCTTCGTAAGTGGCCCCGCCCGGGGCGCCGAGGCACCTCGGGCACCAGCCCCGCCGGCCCGCGCCCGCCGCCGACCGCCCGCCGGGCGCGCGCACCTGCCGCGTCTTGGGCCCGCGCGGCCGTCCCGCCTCCGCCGCCGCCCGCGGTGTGGAGGGAGACCCGCTGTGCGCACTGGGGGCTCCCAAGTTTGTGGGCAGGTTTGGGGGCCCGATGGCCGCGCTTGGGATTTCCGGGAGCAGCAAGCGGGCGGGCGAGGGGCGAAGGCTCCACCTAGGGGTGCTTCGGGCCCGTTGGCCCTTCCCCCGTGTTTTCCACATTCCTCTCAGCCTCCCCCATAAACATCGACTTATGTAAAATCGGCTCGTTTTCTACTTCCCTTCTGAAAACAGCGTGCCCTGCTCCTTCTAGAAGGAAATTTTCTGGGCCCTCCCTGGTGGGCAGGCCAGGCTGGGCGCCCACTGTTGTTTGGGGTTCTTTTTTTTTTTTTCCCCCATCTCCCCAGGGGGTTGTTTTTGTTTTTGAAGGCAACGTTGCCAGTACTTGAACTTTGAGGGTAGGAGCTGGAATCCAGGGGAGGTCTCTGTGGGAGGTGTCTGGGCTGGGGTCATAGGGGCCCCGCCAGGGACCCTGCATCCTTGGAGCAGGGGGGAAGGGAGGGTCCAGGGTCAGGGCAGGGTCCTGTGCCTCTCTTCCCCATCCCTCTGTGGAAGCCCCTCAAGTGTCTGTGCTCCTACAGGTGACCATGGCGGACCGGGCAGCGGCTGAGAGGGCGTGCAAGGACCCCAACCCCATCATTGACGGCCGCAAGGCCAACGTGAACCTAGCATATTTGGGCGCCAAGCCCCGGAGCCTCCAGACGGGTGAGAGCTTGTGCTTTCCTCCCAGGGCTCTTCTCGGTTTCTATATTCGGCCTCAGTATCTGCTGGGTGGGAAAAGGCCCTGCCACCCCCAGGAGTGGCAGCCGGCTGTCCTGGGCCTGCAGAGCCGTCACAGGGCAGTCATCCCCCAGAGTGGGTGCCAGACCTCTTCCCAGCAGCGTGTGGCCCCTGGGATGGGGTGGGGAGGGTATGTCAGCTGTCCTGGAGGGAGGGAGGGAGGACATCGCCCCAGGCCCGGGGGTTGGGAGCACCGGCACCCGGAGGCCGCTGCCACCTGGGTCCCTTGGCCCCCTTCAGCTGGTGCCTTAGGGCTCACCAGGAGGGGTGGCCGAGGAGGGGAGAGGAAGCGGGCCATCCCTTTTGACTGGAGATGTGTGGCCTTTGGAGTTCTGCCTCCCCAAGGGTGGGCCCCTGGGGACATCGTCCCTGCAGCGAGGCCAGGTCCCTGACCATTCTCTCATTTTAGGCTTTGCCATCGGTGTGCAGCAGCTACACCCCACCTTGATCCAGCGGACTTACGGGTGAGTGGCCGTGGGTGGGCGGGCCTTGGAGCTGAGGTGAGGTGGGCCTTGGGCAGCGGCTGGGTCTCGGCGGCTGGGAGAGGGCAGTTTTCAGAAACGGGGTTGCGTTTACAGCAGGAGAACGAGAAGGCAGCGTGCAATTCCCCCCCCACAGAGGCCACAACCGCAGAGAGGGGAGCCGAGCCTTGCGGCCTGCCCGCCTGAGGGCAGACCCTGGCCCCCTTATGAGTTGTGGGGCTTTGGGCAGCTGACGGAGCCATCTGTGCCTCAGTTTCTTCATTTCTAAGATGGGGGAGGTAGCAGCACATCTTAGTTCCGTGAGTGGGGGCTCGGGTGGGCCTGGAGCAGGCAGGCACTCTCAAAGCCCGCGCTGGTGCTCTTAGGTCCGGCGGCTAGGCTCTTCCCTGGCACCCTGACTGCTCCAGTGCCGGGCAGACAGTGGTCACAGCCAGCCAGGGTCTGAGGTTTGTGAGCTGCTGCAGGTAAGATGTGATCAGGGCCAGGTGTCGCGGGTCTCAGTGACCCAGCCTGTGGGCTTTCGTCTGACTCCCTTCGGAGCAGCACGTCCCGTCATTCTCTGTCCCAAACCTCCCACCTCCCTGCCTGTGTTTTCAAATATCCGATAAGGCCTGGCAGCTGCGTAGAGGACACACATACTTCAGGGACACAAGGGACCTTGCCATGCAGTCTGTTTTCCCAGCAGTGTGGGCTGCTTGCCCCGGTGCAGGGAGTGGGGAGAGCAGGTCTGAGACGGGCCACCCCTTTCAGACCGTTACCACCTCTTGCGCTCTCGGAGTCGAATCCCGGCCTCCAGATTTCGTGCCTCAAATTGAGTGTGTGTGTACACGCACATGCTAACCCCGTGGGGGCCACACAGCGTGAGGAGTGACCTGCCCCACTGGGCCAGTGTGGACAGAGGCTCCCGTGGAACAGAGCTGGGGCCCGGCTCACGGGCTGATGAGCAGATCAGTCAGGTCACCCGGGAGGGCTGGCGCGGCCGCTGTTTGGGTGCACTTGTCCTGAGAGGTGGCTCGGGCTCCGCGATGGCTCCCTTGAGGTTTGGTGGACGTGCGTGTGCTCAGCAGGAGCCGCTGCCTGTGGGGTCGGGATGTGGCCTGGGCCCTCCTGGCCTGTGTGGGTGGCCGGGCAGCTCAGCTCCCGTTCGGGCATCTCTGTCCTGGGAGGAATGTGGAGGGCGTTGGGGGCTGGTGGCTCTGAGCATCCTTCTCAGCCTGGAGTCTGTTTCATAAATGTCTCAGAAGGTGTTTGGGGACACCCCAGCCTTCGTGCCTTCACCACAGGCCCACGCCAGGTGTCCCGGGGCAAGGGCTGGGTCCGGCCGCTGCCTAGAGATGGGGAGGGTTTCTGGTGTGTGCCGCTCTCTTCCCCGTACAGCGTGACAGGGCCATCCCCACCAGTGTCTGGGCTTGCTCTGATCCATTCCAGCTGCCTCTGGCTCTCTAGCAACTGCCAGTGCTTGGCCTCCGGAGCCTGCAGCCCTGGGTTCAAATCCGGACTTTGCCACTTACCAGCTAGGTCCCTCCTGGCAAGTGGCGTTCTCTGTAGTTTCCCTGAGAATGGGATAACCGCACGGGAATAATGGCACGTGGGCTGGGCGCTCCGTGCTCCCCATGCGCCTCCTTCCGTCCTCCCAACAGGCCTCTGAGGTTGGGACTGATACTCTCCCTTTATAGGTGAGGAAACTGAGGCAAAGAAAGGTGAACAACCTGTCCAGGGGCGAGGCAGGAAGCATCCAGGAGATTTGCACCCTGCTCTCAGCCCTGCGTTCTTGGCGAGGAGGGTGGGAAGGGCCTGACCTTTCCCCTGGTTGTCCCAGAGTCCCCTGAGCGCCGCCTGGCCGAGAGGAGTCGGGCCGGTCGCAGATGCTGCTGTGTGCGCCTGCCTTCGGGCGACAGTGTTTTGTGACTAGATCCACTGGCTGGCCATTTAACACGTGTGACGAGGAAGAGGCCACAGCTCTATTTGTTGGTTGCCAGGGGGTGGAGACCCAAACGGGCAAGGGGTCAGAGGGACAGTCCACTCTTCGTCTCCTATGAGCGTCGAACTGAGGCCTCTGAGAATTGTGCCACCTCCCACCGCTGCCTGGGCCTTGCTGAGGTCCGGGGTGGCGGGAGGGCCCCTGGGTGTAGCCCTGGGTCAGCTGTCTGCCCCCAGCTCCCGCCTGGCCAGGCTGCAGAGTTGGGCCGTCAGCGTCCCTTTTGTCTTTGCAAACAATCAGGCCCCGGGAGCACAGCCGGGCCTGACTCAGCGGTCAGTTTTGTCAGCCCCGGGCTGGCAGCGAGGCCAGGCCTGCCGTTGGCCGAGGGCGTGGTGGGAGCCGGGCAGCTGAGGGCTGTCCCAGTTAACCCCTCTCCTGCCTGGCCGTGCTCTTCCAGATTGGCCCGGTTACAGGCCTTGGACACTTCTAAAGATTCCAGGGCTTTCAGGCAAGACCACGGCAGAAGCTCTGCCTGGCTGGGCCGTGAATGTCAGCTTAGAAAGGTTCGCCGAGGAGCCGCTGCGCTGTGATAATTGCTCGGGTTTCCCTGCTTGTGTCTGTGTTTTTCTTGAGTTGGACGGGCTCTGTCAGGACCAAACTCAGCCTGGCATTTCTGTCACGCAGCTGCATCTGTGGGCAGGGCGGGCCAGGGTTTGGGGAAGCCTTCCTCTCCGCATGGCGAGCGCGAGATAGCCATAGAAGCTGACCCTTGCGGCTGTAGGCCGCCAGCCGAGCGTCTCTGCCAGAGTGGGGCGCGCGGCAGGGCGGGCGCAGGGCTCGGAGAGGGTTTGGGTCCAGGCAGTGTTGGTCTGGCCTGGAAGGGGCTCCTGGTGTTGGAGGTGTCTGCCCACCCCTGGGCTTGGCTGCACTTGGCTCTGTCCGTGGGTCAGCTGTTGCTGTGTGCAGGTCCCTCTCCTTGTCCTCAGGGAGCCTGCTGTGGGCCCGATGCCCGTTCCCGGAGAGCTTCGCTCCGCGCCAGGCATGGGATCTGGCTCCAGGGCCCGAGACAACAGGCAGAGTCTCGGGGCTGCACGTTGGATGTGCTGTGAGCTAGAGCAAGGGCTCACGCCCATGCGTGCCATGGGGACAGTGACAGCGCCTCCTCCACGGGCCGGGCTGAGGACTGAGGGAGCTCACGAGTGCGGAGCCTGTGGGCCCGGAGGTCAGTGAGGCGTCTCCCGCTGCGGCTGGTGACTGTCCATCTGCAAAGCCAGGGCCGGGCAATGGAGAGGCTTGGACTAAGCTCGCGCGGCCGGGGCCGGGGCCTGAGCTGGGGTCTCCGAGGCCCTTGTCCCTTCCATGAGGATCCAGTGCCTCCCTCTGACCACGTGACAGCTCTTGGGTGCATCGGCACGAGAGCCCCAGTGGTTGGCAGGGCTGGACCCTCCCAGGCACGCGCACGGCCCGCTCAGCGCGTAGTTCCAGGACGCCTGCTTCCTGCGGGTGAGCCCTGCTGCCCGCGCTGAGACAGCTGCCCTCGGCGCCACCAGGCCGTGGGCGTGTGCGTGTCGGGGCCCGAGCAGGGTGACCCTGTCCCCGGGGCGAGAGGAGGGTCCAGGCAAGGAGATGTTGGGGGCGTGTGTCTCCCTGGGAGTGTGGAACGCAGCAGGCTGGAGAGTGTGCAGAGCTGCCCCCAGAAACGTGCCTTCCTCAAGCGTCATTGAGCGCCTGCTGTGTGCCAGGCGCTGTGCCTGGGCTGCTTTGCATAAGACACAGCCGTCTGGGCGCTCACGTCCCGTCTGCGCCGGGGCCCTGGCTGTGACGAGTGCGGTTGAGCAGGAAGCCGGCCGGGGTGCCTTTGTGGAGAGCGAGCAGTCCTGCGTCTCGAGTGTGGTGGCGGGTGGGTGCGTCTGCGCGCGGCAGGGTGTCACGCAACAGCACAGGACCTGCGAGCCTGCCTGCAGAGGGTGGTGCGACCTGACGGAGGCCTGCAGTGTCGCTTGTAGCACCGTGGCCACGTCCCTTTCCTGGTTTTGATGACGTGCTTGGTCACATGAGATGTCACCCGGGGGGATGGCCGGGGAAGGGTACAGGGGACCTCTCTGTGATGTTTTCGCAACTTCTTTTTTTTTTTTCTTGAGACAGAGTCTCACTCTGTTGCCCGGGCTAGAGTGCTGTGGCGTCAGCCTAGCTCACAGCAACCTCAAACTCCTGGGCTCAAGCAATCCTCCTGCCTCAGTCTCCTGAGTAGTTGAAACTACAGGCATGCGCCACCATGCCCGGCTGATACTTTTAGTTGGCCAGTTAATTTCTTCTATTTTTAATAGAGACGGGGTCTCGCTCTTGCTCAGACTGGTCTCGAACTCCTGGACTCAAACGTCCGCCCATCTTGGCCTCCCAGAGTGCTAGGATTCCAGGGGTGAGCCACTGCACCCGGCCAGTTTTTGCAACTTCTTGGGAGTCTATTATTATTTTATAATTCAAAGTGGGAAAATAAAGCCAGGGAAGGGGCTTGCAGGAGCTGGCGTGTGTACACGTGTGTGTGTACATGTGTGTGCATGTGTGTTGGGGGAAGGCCCCTCTGAGGAGTGAGGAAGTTGGCCCTGTGGGCACCCGAGGGAGAGTGATCTGGGCCCGGGGATAGCAAGTGATGGCGGCTCGGGGTGAGGTCAGAGGCCATGGGGGCTGGGAGAGGCTGGTGGCCCACCCCCACGGTGTTGTGTTTTCACCCTTGGGGTGTCTCTTGCGGCAGCCCTGCCTGCCCCCCACTGTGGCTTCCTGTTTGGCAGCTTGTCTGGATGAGGCGTGGGCTGGCGCCGTGGCCCTCCCGCTGGGCGGGCAGCCGTGCTGCACCTGTTGTTTGTCGCAGCGCCGTAACAGAAACCAGCCTTGGGCGGTTGTTGGGTTCCTCTCGAGGACGAGTCCTCGCCCTGGCAGGATCCCCTTCTGCTGGGCAGCCTTTTCTGGAAGCCTCGGCTGGGAGGCCAGGGCCTGACCACAGCCAGGGGCCGAGGCACAGGTCTGACCGTTCCTCGTCCAGCCTCAGTTTCCCTGCCTGCCCTGTGGACGGTGATGGGTGCCCTGCAGGGTGCTGTGACATCCGGGCCTTTCTCCCAGCCCCTCCCGTGTGGGTGGAAGGAGGGAGGTGTCACTTCACCCGGCAGATACTCTTTGTGCCAGGCCAGGGATGCCAGGGGGTGAGAGGAGACCCCGTCCCGCCTCATGATCCCAGCGCCTCCCGCAATGAGGTGGTGACGAGGGGACAGACCAGAAAGGGAACAATCGTGCCTCAGGTGGCCACGAGAGAGCTGCGGGGTGGGGGAGGGGGGAGGAGGCCTGCAACAGGGGCGTGGGGTTGGGCCCAGCAGGGTGTCCTCAGGGAGCACCAGGGCCTTGCTCTGGGCGCCGGCCGTGGCAGGCTCTGAGTGGAGGAGGAACGGTTGACTTGCATCTCTGTTTTCAGGGCGTTTCTGTGTCTGGCTGTGGGTGGCCTGGCCTGCTGGGGCTGGCGTGGAGGGTGGAGACCTTGGGGCTGCCCAGTAACCCAGGTGTGGGATGGCGGGGCCGCCTGGGCCAGCAGCCCTGGGAGACGTGGGATTCTGGACGAGTGTTTTAAAGTATTTGTGAAGAAAAGAGTTCACGAAGATTCCAGAGCTCACGTCCTGAGGACGTGGAGGTCGGATGGGCCGTGGCTGTTGTGGAGGGCACCTGTGGGGAGAAGGGCAGGACTTGGGGTTGGGACCAGTTCAGGTGGGGGTGCGGTCCCGGGGCCTGGTGACGTCCTCGGACAGAGCCCCTCCTGCTTCCTGTGGCCGGCCACCCCTGTCTCGCCTGGCTTGTCTGAAGGGCCCCAGAAAACCTGCATGGCCCCCCAGGACCCGGCCCTCCCTCTTGGGGCCAGGGCCCCCGCGCACAGCCAGGCTGCCGGCAGCTGCACGTCTGTCTCCTCGTGGTGGGCAGGCCCCTGGAGAGCAGAAAAAGTGAAATGGGCTCATTTGCCTTTCTCGTTATTATTTTCGGAAGTGCCTTTGTGCTCAGAAGATGAGCCCTCCTGGGCTGAGGCCAGCCATCTCTCCCCGAGAGCTTTGCCGGGAGAGTGGGGCGTGTTTGTCTGTGTGAGTTGCCGGCAGCCCGCTGAGCGCCGGGTGGTTCTCAGCGTCCCGAGCTCCCTGTCTTCTCAGGGCAGCCTGGCAGCCCTGAGTGTCCTTGGTTCACATATGGGGAAACTGAGGCCAGAGAGGCCAGGTGATTGTCCCTGTGACAGGCATGGCCAAGACCTGGACTCGGGTTCTTGCCCCTGGATCCCTAAGTCTCCGGCAGGGTCAGTGGGTGGCCCTGCGTGTGTCGGGGCGCAGGGGAGGGTGCACAGCTGCCGGGGCCACATGTGCACAGCAGGGGAGGCGGCACCTCCTGGGTTTCCAGGCTGGACCAGGCGTCCGGCCCCCATCCTGTCCTGGGCTGTGGTGGGCCCTGGCCCCCGTGGCAGGCTGTTTGTAGCCATAATGGTGGCCTGTTGCAGCGCCGCCACGGTTTGGGGCTTGGCGTTGCCAGGCCCCGGCACTACGGGAAAAGGGAAACCAAGAACCCCTGTGTCTTCCTCCCCCAAATGTCCCTGCCCCCCAGCCAGGCACCTGCGTCAGGTGAGGGGTCTGTCCCGCCCACCCCCGAGGTCTCTGCTCTCCCTTTGCCTGGGCTTCGCACTTGTTGGGGCAGCGGGGTCTGCTCCCGGCGTGCGGCACGTGAGGAGGGTGTTACGCGGTGAGAGAGGCAGGGCCCGAACCCAGGCCTGGCTCTGTTCTCGTGGTGGAGGCGGGGCTGGGCAGGAGGGGTCCTGATGGGGGACCCCCTCGGTCTCTGGGCCCCGAGGGCTGCAGGGCGCTGCGCTGGGGTGGCCGCTGCCCGGGAGGGGAGCAGCGGTGGGGAGGGTGCTGGAGCTCCCAGCAGCACGGTCCAGTGGGGCTCCTGGGTGCTTGTGGCCAGACGTGTGGGGACAGCAGAGCCCCTGTCACTGCCCAGCTCCACCCACACCCGTCTGCTGTGCACTGTGCCCTCACTGCGGTGGGTCTCCGATGAACTGCCATCCTAATGGGTCAGGATTTGTTCCTTATACATATGTTTTTATAGAGGTAAGATACATATAACATTCACTATTTTAATGTGTACAGTTCCGTGGGTTTACCATCACAATTATCTAATTTCAGAACTTCTTCATTGCCCTTAAAGGAAACCCGTTAGCAGTAACTCCCCTTTCTCCAGCCCCTGGCAGCCTCTGATACGCGTGCCCCTTGTGGACAGTTCGTTTAAGCAGACTCAAAACAACATGTAGCCTTTCGAGCCGCTCCTTTCACTTAGTGCAACGTTTTCAGGGTTCATCCACGTTGTGGCATGCGTGGGTGCCGCGCTCCTTTTCGTGGCTGAATGATACTCCGTTTGTGGATAGCCCACATTGTGTTTATCCATCAGTCGATGGTTATTTTGACTCCTGAGCACTGGGCAGTTCCAACATCCCGAGCTCCTTGTGTCCTCAGGGCAGCCTGGCAGGCCCTGCAACATCCTTAGCTCACATATGGGGAAACTGAGGCCAGGTGATTGTCCCGGTGACAAGCACAGCCAGGATCTAGGCTTGGGCTCTTGCCCCTGGATGCCTGGGTCTCCATGGCAGAGTCGGGGTCAATGATGTTCCTGTGTTTTAGTGACACACGTGACCCCGTTCTGCTTGTGCAGACACTCAGACCTGCACATGCCGCTCCCGCCAGCCCCTGCCCGGGCGTTCGTGCCACGGCACTCTGGAAAGCTGCAGCTTCTCTTGGACCAACAAAAGTGGCAGTTTCGTGCCATTTAGCCTCACCTGTCCTTGGCCTGGGTATAAAGGGACGTTTGATTTTTACTTCTTTAGCATCAACAACGTCATGCGCCAACAGTGTCATTGTCGGCAGCAGTGTGGCAGCTTTGCACACAGCCTCGCAGTCTGCTGCGTGCCTTCCCTGCCAACGGCGCGGTGGGGAGGCGGGGGCTGCCGGGGGCCTCCTCCCTTCCTGAAGGGGTGTCGGATCCTGTGGGTGGCGCTGGGAAGCGAGGGGTCCTCTTCGATCCTGAGCCAGCTGCAGGGAGGGTGCACGTGTTTTCAGTGCCCCTTGTGGTACCAAAATGCTCTGCAAAAGGCTGCCCTGTTTCTGCCCCTGCCGAGCGTGGAGAGCCAGCGAGGGATTTTGCTCCTTTCCTCTTGGGGCAGCTTCCCGGGACTAGGGGCAGGGCGGGGATGGCCGTCCTTCAGATGTGGGAGGAAGGCTGAGGTTCCACTCGCCCCATAGGCAGCCCTGTCCTGTGTACCCATGCAGGCCTGATGCCCAGGGACAGTGTCTTGTCCCGACACGGTCACCCTGCCCAACACTCGCAGCATCTCCTGATGCCGCCAGGTGGGTGCTCCTGTCACGGACTCTCCGAGAGGCTCAGCGCCTCAGCTGCTTGCCCAGGGCTGCCCAGCGGCTGGTTGGCAGAGCAGGCCCACACCAGGGCAGCTGCCTCCCTGAGCCTCGGTTTCCCGTCTGAGGCACAGAGGAGTTGTTCCCTGCGTTAGGTGTGTTGTGTGCATGGTGGCAGCCCATGGCAGGCCTGCGGTAAGCGGTGCCTCCGTGACTCGTCCCATGGCCGCCCGTGGGGGAGCTGAGAGCACAGGTCTGTCCCATCAGCTGTGGGCCTGGGCAAGCCCCGGCCCCGTGTGTGCGGAGCGTGGTGATGGGAGCACCCACCGACGGGGCGGGACAGACCAGCTACCCTGCGAGGCGTCCTGCTCAGGGGCAAGGGCTGTCGACACTCGTGCATTCACTCGGCAAAGACAGCCCCGAGCGCAGGCCGGAGCCTGCCGCAGTGAAAGATGAACGTCCCTGAGAAGCGGCCTGTGAGTCACAGATGGCTGTGGCAAAGAGTGAATTGTGCAGGTGCCACTCAGTGTCACTCAGTGGGGCAAGTGCTGGGGAGGTGAGCCGGTGTCAGGGACGGGGCTAGCTTCACAGAAGAGCAACCTGGGCACTTGGTTTCATGCTGTCACTGTCTCGAAATTTTTAACCATTTTTAAACAAAGGTCCCATGTTTTTATTTTTCCACTGGGCCCAGATGCTGTTGCTGCTATGGGGGGGGCGGGGTGTAGGGCGGGGCGGGGGCATGGTGTGGGCAGCCTGGCTGAGCAGGAGGCGTGGGGGAGCTGGGCAGCAGGAGCGGCCTATGCAGAGGCCCCACTGGGCGCTCCTGTCCCACAGGGAGGAGGTGGGGACTCGGGTGGGTCCCGGCTGCGTGTCCCCACTGTCCGCCGCCTGCCCTGACGACTCTGCCTGGCCCCGCAGGTTGACTCCACACTACATCTACCCGCAAGCCATCGTGCAGCCCAGCGTGGTGATCCCGGCCGCACCTGTCCCGTCGCTGTCCTCGCCCTACATTGAGTACACGCCAGCCAGCCCGGCCTACGCCCAGTACCCGCCGGCCGCCTACGACCAGTACCCGTACGCCGCCTCCCCCGCCACCGCCGCCAGCTTCGTGGGCTACGGCTACCCCACCGCCATGCCCCAGGCCCTCTCTGCCGCAGCGCCCGCGGGCACCACCTTCGTGCAGTACCAGGCGCCGCAGCTGCAGCCCGACAGGATGCAGTGAGGGGCGTCCCTGCCCTGGGGACCGTGGCAGCGTCACCCGCACGACAGGCAGGCCCACCAGGCCACGACGGGCCCACGGCCAGCCCGGCTGAGCTTTGGGTGCCACCAGCGCCTGTGGCCCGGGACGGCCGGGAGATGGCTTCTCCTCAGATCCAGGTCCTGTCATGTCGCCAGGGAGGACTTTGAGAAGAAATTCCTCCTCGCACACGGCGCAGCCTTCTTCCCGCACCTTTTCCTGCCCCTTGTCGCACTCCGGGTGTCCTCAGGCCAGTCCCCTCGGCAGCCTCCAGGTGAGTCCGGCACGGACCCGCCACGGATCCCAGCTGCCCTTGGGCTGTGCAGAGACTGTCCCTCGTGGAGATGCCTTACTCCAGGGAGTAAGCAGCTGATGGACTGTTCATTGTCACTTGATCCGCACAGTTTGTGAGCCACAGTCGGGGGAGCGGGCAGACCCCTCCTCGTTGAATTCTCATTCTCTACCTTGTTGCACGTGGCGGCTTCCTCGAGGCCCCCGGGGCGCCAGGCGCAGGAGGGCCACCGGCTCCGGCCGGAGATCTTTCAGTCGAAGCACTGCGACTTTTTTCTTACTCTAATTGTTTTGCTACTAAGATGATTTCAGAATTTCAGTCTATTTTTTCAGTGGAGACTGCCGCCACCAAGAATCCAAAACCTATTTTTGACTTTGAGCAGTTTGCTTTTGTGGGTTCCACCCGTGGAGACGACGACCGTGTCTCTGTGTAACAGGCGTCTGCCGCCGGCGGGCGGGCCGGAGGGCGGCGCTGGTCTCGGCACCCCCGGGCGGCCGGCGGCGTCTCGGGAGGGAGCGGGCCCAGGCTGCTCAGGGTCTAGACCAGGGGGGCTCCTGGCTGCGGGTGGGGGCCCTCAGCCCTGCCGTGGGGCTTCAGAGCGCAGCACTGGCCACCCCCACCCCTCCTGTTGCCCCCTGCTGAATGCCGGCCCGACACGTGCCCCTGCCTCCCTGGGAATTGGGGTGCGGGGGCAACAAGTTCCAACAGCCGTGGGGGCTCCCGCGGGGGCGGCCGGGGTTCCTTCAGACCTACCTCAGGGAGCGGAGGCTCGGGGAGGGACGCGCAGGCGCTCCTCGGCACGCCTGGTAGAGTCGAGGCCCAGGAAATAAAGGTAGCTAATATTATAATAATATTTTTATTAGAATTGTTCTGATTATAAAAATAAAACTTGTTTTCTTTAAAGAAATAGATGGTCTATAGTTTTCTCTTGAGTAGGAGCCGTGGGCCCCTGGCCGGGGGGCCGGGGTTTCAGGGACAGTCACCGAGCACCCACCCCGCGCGGCCGGAGTGGCAGCCCTGCTACCAGCTGCTGGCGGGGAGGACAGGCGTCCCCACCGCGTACGTCCCAGGCAGCCGTCTGCCACACTTAGGGGACTTCTCAGGGCAGGGCCTTGCAGCCATGGCTGGGGGGCAGGGGACAGTGATTGGAGGCTCCACCAGGAGTCCGTAGAGTCGGGGGCAGTTTCCTAAGAGGAAGGGGCACCCCAGAACCCCCCGAGTAGGGGCTGCTGAGCAGGTGCGAGAGCAGGCATCCAGGACAGGTGGGTATATATAGCAAAATCAAAAAGGGGTTCTTGGCCTGGGGTTGGATGGCCCCCACGCAGGATAGTCCCAGCATCCCCCAGAACCTGGAGCTGGGGAAGTCACGGGCCGCGGGAGGCGGTGATGCTGAGCTGACATGCCACGCCTGCCTTCCCTGCTCGCGTGTCCGTTAGTCCTTCCCAGAAATGTGCCGGTCCGTGCAAAGCCCTGGGCTGGTCAGGAACACTCGGGCACAGCGTGCCGTGAGGGTTTATGATCTAGCGGGGCGACGGCAGAGCAGCCCCGGGGGGAGACCGTGCAGAGCAGTGGGAACGGCAGGCACGCGGGCCTGGAGGCAGGGAGGGGTCCACAGTGAGGCTGGGGAGGGGGCGCAGAGCTTGGCCCACAGACAGGTGGTCGGTCCCCGTCGCCCTCCTTGACCCACACGGCAGCCACGCCAGGGACTCGGAGTTGCCCTGAACTCCGCTCCTCCCCTCACCCCACGTTGGACTCAGCAGGTCCAGAAGATTCCTCGCCCTCAGCCTGTCTGGAATCCCCCCTGCTCCGCCCCAGCCGTGGCCCAGCCCCACCCACCCTCTCACCTGCACCTGGCCCGGCCTCACTGCTTCTGCCGACTTCCTCCTGCAGCCACGACCACGCGCGGCCAGGGCACCCCGTTCACACAGGGAGGTCACACCTCCCCCGGCTCAGCGCCTTCTGTGGCTCCCCATTGTCCTGGAAGATAAAGCCAAAGTTGTCACTGGGGCCCTGGGGCCCCTACCCGCCTCCTCACCCACTTGGCTCCAGCCACCCCACCCTCCCTGCTGTCCCTTGGGCACAGCCACCTCAGGGCCTTTGCACGTGCTGTTCCCACTGTCGGGAGCCTCTAGCTGACCACCTCCTGCGGCTTCCCTTCATCTTCGTCCTCGTCTGTCCCCGTCCCTCCCCTGTTCGAACATCAACTCCAGGAGCCCGGGGGCTGTCTGCCTTGTTTCCTGCTGATCCCGCACGGGTGCTGTGCCAGCCACACAGCTGGGAAACTGAGGCCTGGTGCAAGCAGTCTGAACTTGATCCAGCCGCCCGTGAGTGGGCGTCAGAGATTTCCGGCAAAGGACAAGCCCCAGGACCCACCAGCACAGCTGCAGGCCCATCCGCGCAGGTTGCAGCGTGCTGGGCAGATCTGAGCCGGCGGAGGCTGGGCTTGGGGGACAGAGACCGGAGTCACTGCCATGCCCACGTGGGACAGGCAGAGGGACACGTGGGGAGAAGAGCGGCCTTGCAGGGCAAGGGCAGGAGGGTGGTGGGGCAGAGCCTGCCACCACCTCCCAAGGCCAAGGGTTGCCTCCCCACCCCACAGAGGAGGAAACAGCTGCGCAGAGAGGCAAAGCGACTTGCCCGAGGCCACACAGCCAGGAAGACCTGGGGCCAGTTGGGTCTGACCCCAGACCGCAGGGACAGCTCCATAAGGTCAGCCCCTGAGTTTGAAGACAGACGGGGGTCACCCTGATGGGGGAGGGGGTGTGGGGTGGACCTGGGGCCACCTTCCCTGCCCTGTCCCTGGGGGTACCCAAGGGGTATTTACTTTGACGTGAGATTTGGGGACAGCCTCTGCGCAGGGCGGTCGGGGAGCCGGGCGCCGGTGAGGCTCTGCCGGTTTGCTCTTCTTCCCAGGGCCTGCGCCGGCGTGCCAACACTGGAGAGGCTCAGGGAGGGGAGTGTCCCAGGAGGAGACATTTGCTGCCACCGATAAGGGCCTGGGGGCCGGGAGGGGAGGTGTGGGTGCTGCCAGGGTTATCGGGAGGGCCACTTGTGGCCGGCGAGTTTCCTGTCGCTATCGGCCGCTGGCAGCCTCGGGGACAGGCCTTGGGGTACGGCCATGGGCCTGGAAAACATCTTCCTGGGCCCCGGGGTTGAGAGAGCATTTCCAAGTCACCCGGGCTGAGCAGGGAGAGGCCCGGGCTGAGGGCGCAGGGACTCGGGCCAGGGCCTCGAGTCGCGGCAGCAGGAATCAGACAGCGCCAGGCAGGCGGCTGCCACATCCTCGGAGCTGACTGCTGGTCAGGCGCTTTGCACAGACGGTCTCAGTCACCCACGGTGTCCGCATCCACACACCGAGGTGGCGCCCCCTTGCCCGAGCCCCTGGCGGGGAGCTGGGGGGCAAACGCCCCGCTCCCCGGCCGTCAGCGGGATCGCCCTGCGGGCCTGTCCTGCGCTGGCACCTGCGTCCCCCCGGACGGCGATGACTGGCTCCATCACACACCCTTCTCTTCACCTCACGTCCTCAACCCTGGACGCACGTCCTGGGGCCACCTCCCAAATAAGCCGCTACTTGTGCGTTTGGGCACCCAGCTGGGACAGCCGTGAGTGACACACTGCAGTGCGGGCCAGGCACTTGCTGCGCCCGGGTCCTCTGAGCCCTGCGGGCAGCTCCTGTTCTCTTTCAAGGAAGCTCAGGGGCCGGAGGGGCAGGGCAGCGTGGCCAGGGCGCCCAGCAGCAGGGCTTGCTCAGGGCCAGGTGCGTCCGAGCTGTCACCCTCGGAGCCGGCAGGTGGATGGGCGCGGTGGGGGGACGCTCAGTCTGTCACCTCTGGAGCCGAGGTTGTCCTCAGGCTCCCAGAACTCGCGACAACCAAGGTTCATTGGAATTTCCCATGGCTGTACGTCTGTTATCTCCCGACAACCTGTGGGGGGTTGTCTGTGCCCGATTCACAGATGGGCAAACCAAGGCTGAGAAGATGTAGCCACCCGCCCATGGCCAGAGAGCTGGGGAATGGCAGATGCTGGGGTCAGCACACTCGCCTCCCCCCAGTGTGGAATCTCTGTCTGAGGACCAGGCTCGGGCCACCACCCCATCCTCTACCTCCCTCCCCCCAAAACCAACCCGGCGTGTCTTCTGTGCGTCCCTGCCCTGGCTGCTGAGTCACACATAAACACCATAACCACCAGGACTCCCCGGGCCATAGGTTGGGGACCGTCCAGATGCCGAGAGGCCACCAGGGCAGCTGCCCAGTGTGTCCCAGGCGGGGTGTCACACAGGGCACAGCCTGGGGCTGGCACCTGGCCCTCCAGATACCTCCTGGGCCTCCCTGGTGGCTGATAAGTGCAGTCTGTGCTTATCAGCCCCCCAGCCCTGCCTGTCCCCGCCCCTCGGTGGCACAGGGGTGTGCACAGCTCGAGACAGGCCGAGCCCCCAGCCCAGCCCCCGGGCACGTCGGAAACAGCTCAGAGGTTCCCAGGCGCCTCCTGCCGGCCTCCCTGCCCCAGGGACGGGGGCATGTTTAGGGAAATTAAAAATAAATGATTTTTGTCCAAATTATAAATCTAATACTGTTTAAAGGAAATGCATTAAAATAATCGACGTATGTGTACGAACAGGGGCGGGGGGAGGCGGGCCGGTGTCAGCAACAGCAGGACGCGTGCGGCTCTCCCTCGGGACGCCGCGGCTCTGCTGCCACAGCCGAGACAGAGAACCCGGGCACGGAGTCCGGCCTTGGGTCAGCCTCTGTTACCTTCGCGTGCACACGCGCCAGCCCCTGCCCGGCAGGGCCACCGACTCACCCCCACCGCCCGAGTCTCTCACGGCCTGAGCGTGGGGGTCTGGCCGGCGTCGCGCCCCTCCAGGCTCGTCTGGGGGTGCCCACTCCATCTTTGCGCATGGCACTCAGAACATGCCTTTCCTGGCAAACGAGCAAAAACAGCCCTGGGAGTCCCTGCTGCCCTGGAGTGAGATCCCAATTCTTTGCTGCAATCTCCACTGCCAGGTGGACTGGACGGGCCGCCCCTCTGATCCCGAGAGCCAGAGACAGGGAGAGTGGCTCTGCCCCAGTTGCCCTTTAACCCCAGCTCACCTGTCGCCCTTGGAGATGCCTCCTGGGACCTCCTGGCTAAGGCGCCTCCCCAACCCCGGCCTCGTCCTTTCTCCTCCCAACGGCCTCTTCCCGGTTCGAAGCGGCATCTTGGTTTTTTGCGTTGATTTACATTGAGTGTTATTCTTTCAAATAGGTTTAAGTTATCCTAAAAGTCAGCCCCGTGCTCTACTCGGGGAGGACTTAGAGCCCCCCCCCCCGCCCCTACTCTGACCAGGGTAATTATGAAAAAAGTGTTTTTTACACTGACCCATCGAAACCCTAAAAGGAGGACAAAGGTGAACTCCTCTCGCAACTGCAGAATCCGTTTGCTGAAGAAACTAAATAGAAAAACAAAGGAAAAACAGACAGGTGGAAACATAAAAATTAAACTCAGCACAGCGGCTCTTAGGCCGGGTTTCACGTGAGAATCATCAAGAAACGCCTAGAGAAACACCCACGCCAGGCCCTCCCAGAGACCGGTCCCCGGTGGGGCTGGGCAGGACGGTTCTCAGCAGCTCCCTGAGCCACGCACCAAGTGCGGCCAGGCGGGAGCCCCGACCACAGGGATTGCTCCGGGGTGGGGCCGCGTGGACGCCTCTCAAGGTCACTGTAGACGGTCTGTGGTTTGGACGGGTTGTCAAGTCTGGCTGGGGTTAGAGCCAGCCGGCAAGGGGGTGTTCCTGGTGTTGACGCTGGTCTAGGGGGTCCCCGAGATCCCCAGAACTGGGGGCTGGGGACGCAGGGGGACCCGCCCCACACAAAGGGCCCGTGAGCAGGAGAGGGCACTTGCTCCGGACGGCAGGCCAGGACAGCCGCG